TGTATAAACACAATATACACAATACAAAACATAGTATAGCATATTAATACATTTATTAATATATTTTAATAAAGAAAAAGCTTGATTGTTGATTGAGTTTATTTCTCACACACACTCACTCTCTTATACCCACAGCCATCAGACTTAATAATTCTTTGTTAAATAGATGATCTTACAGACTTCTTTGAAATTTCCTTTGGGGATTAATAAAGTTCTTCTTATTCTTATTACACTGACTGCTGTGATCCCTCAAAAGTAGTAAAAAAACATTTTCAATATTTACATAAACACTGAAATTAATTTTGGTATTGGTATTATAACTATGAAAATGGGACTGTGGTCAAGATAATTTGAAAAAAGATACAGAAGGATGAGCAGCAGGGGATATTTGCAGCACAGCTGGTGGAAAAGTGAATATGTGCATAAAGGTGTGCTATACATAATATGCTATACTATGTTCTGTATTGTGTATATTGTGTTTATACAGTATATAAATACTGTGTATGTATGTGTATATATATATATATATATATAGTATATATATATTATTTTATACAGTCTATGATATATATATATCCCACTCTGGGGTTGAGGTGAATAAAATAACTGTGTTGTGACCTAAATAACATGCTGTTGCTATCGGCAGGAAGTATTAAAGCATGAAATCCCGCATTTTTAATGTACGAAAGCATCCTGTATCATAACTACATGTGTGCCGTTTGTAACAAACCAAACCTCGTGAAAATCAGTTGAAAATTCAGTGAGTTATTCTATTTTACTTGTGCATACAGCTCCTTCCTCAATAGAAGTGAATGCACTGTGGAGGCGAAGCAAGACCCAACCAAGATGGCGGCCAGCGAGGACATCGGCTCTGATAGGCAGCGGCAGTCAATGCGGCGTCTATGTATATATGTCTATGGGTCAAACGGTGTGCATGGGGTACATGCAACTCTGACACAAGATATCCTGAGAGGCTGGGCGACGAGGTGTATTTTTTACCCTTTAAACCACATCTCAACCGAGAAAAGTGTCTCCTTTGGATAAAGTTGTGCGGTAACGATAGACCACAACATCAGCTCAACGTGAATAAGATTAACAATGATGTCTACATCTGTTCTAAGGTAAGTCAACATCATGTTTGAGGCAACATATTGTAACTTTGCTGGAAAGAAATATAAAATTATCTTTAACATCTCTAGCTAACGTTAGCTAAAGTTAGCCTAACGTTAGCTCCTAGCTGCGTTGTTCATCATGTCCCTTGTTTGCTGGGAGTTCATTAGCCTATTTTGTTCTAGTTTTGTACTTTGGTGATCGTACATCATTGTTAGCTGTTGTCCAAAGGGCTCTAGTTAAGCTAACGTTAACTTCTGGAGCTTAGCTTCATTAACTTATCTGTAATCGCACAGATAACAAAGGTTGGCAAACGTTATGCTGAATGATTCAGTGTAAATACTGTAGCACCAAACTAACGGAGAGACACTCGTGACGGCAACAAGAGGTGGTTCACAAGCATTCACAAAATGATGAATATATCCCTCCAGTGCGTAGTTTAGGCCCTTTTTGGTTACTTCTCAATGACATCTGATCGTTATGTCCCAAAAAATCATCAATTGTCTCCTGCGAAATGCTGTGTGCTGTGACACCTGCCATAGCACCGGTCACTGAATGTTGATAGTTTGTCTGAGTGAGTGGAGGGGGGCGTGGCTTAGCCATAGGTCAATTGGAGTTGCTATGTGGGGCCACTGAAAACCTTGGTGTGGAACGCCAAAACCAAAAGCCATAACTGAATTCTAGGAATTCCATTATGCAGTTAAAAACTATATCAATATGAGGGTTAAGGAATCGCACACTGATATACTTTGTTTTCTTATTTTACAGTTCATTTTACTAATTATCTGATGTATAGACTTATACTGGGATCTCTGTATCTGTATGTGTTAGGAGATTCATTCATTAGTAGGTTGTATGTTGTCAGAAATTAATGGTATCCTCCTTCTCTGAGCTGTAACATTAGCTAGCTCAGTGGTTCTAGGTGAGCTGCATGCATGCTTCCTTCTGTGCAGTGATACAGTTAGTGGGTGTAGTTTGATGGAAAGAAAATAGTTCCTAAAGGAAAATGCTCCCAACAAGGTCTGTGGATTATCTTGAGTAACCAGTTTATGATTTCAGAAACAGACATTGCTGTTGAGGTTTTCAAATGTAATTTTTGGCACAAGCCGAGTGCCATCTAATTCCATTTTATTGGAGAGAAGGCAGACATCTCTATGGCCAATATTTCCAACACATGCAACTCACATCAAAACAGTCTTGGGATAGGATAAATGGCATTATGGGTAAGAGGTAAAATATGTTTTGTTTTGTTTTTTCCTTTCAAATGAAAAACTCACCAAAGACAGTTCTGGCTGGCACTGACTCTCGGTTGAGCCAGAAGGAGACCTGGGAGAGGATGACAGTCATGATACAGGGCAGATATGTCTGGATCACAAAGTAGCCGATCTTCCTCTTCAGATGGAAGTGAGCAGTCATCACTGTGTATTCACCTGAGGAGAGAAGTTCAGCTGATGGTTACATACAGTACGTGCTGGTAGTTGTAGATGAGGACAGTATTAGTAGATTAATTAAAAGGTGTATTAATAACATGCATTCATCATGAAAGAATATATCTGAGGAAATAATCGTTATAGTTGAATGTGAAGACTAATATCGACCATGGTAATGGTTCCCGGTTTGTGTGTGCCTGTCAAAGGCTGCTTTGATCACTCAGTGTGTTTCTTTAAGCTCAGCTGGCTTTGTTAGAAGTCTGATGGAGTTTGGTTTGTGAAAAATTCACTTGGCTATTTTTCTGGCCCTGTGATGCCCTGCGATGCTGTAAACTTGAGAGCTGCTAGAGCTCCCATATTCTCTTTCTATCCTTTACTTCCTCCATGCTGAGAATAATAAAAAAAAACTTCAAAGAGGTATGAAGAGAGTGGACTTAAATCCATAAAACACAGATAAAAAGAAAGCAAATTGGTGCTGTGAGTAACAATTCTCACAGGACAACATATGCTGCCATTCCCCAGCTGTCACAGATGTTAAAGGGTTTCGTGGTCAGTCTCTTCCTCACAAATTTTGAGACCATGACAATTTTTGTACACTCTCACTGAGCAGCTGCTACCTTTACTTCATTGTCTGTAGCTGTTGGTTGCCTGATCCTTGGATTAACTCTTAGATTACTGTTTCTGTTTGTGTGATTTCAAAGATAGTCCTACACTCATCCTTATTCGACACCATCCTCAGGCTCTCCTTCCCAAGTTGGTCATTAAAAGCCTCATCTACACGGATCAATCATAACATTAAACCACTGACAGGTGAAGTGAATAAAATTGATTATCTCATTATAATGCAATGTTCTGGTGAGAAACCTTAGGTCCTAACATTCATGTGGATGCCACTTGACATGCACCACCCACCATTGCAGACCAAGTACCCCCTCTCATGGCAATGGCAAATACTGTTCATTAATGGCCAAAGGAATGTGACAATGAGCTCAAGGTGTCAACCTGGCTTCCAAAATCTCAAGATCCCAATCTAATCAAGCATCTGTAGGACGTGATAGCATTCCATCTTGCATCCCACAGGACTCAAAATATCTGCCACCAAGACCCTGGTGCCAGACCATAGGTCAGAGGCCCCACCATGGATTGGACTTGGAACTGACCTGTCAAGGCATGGACACAGGACCACTGGAATACCACGACCTCCCACAGATGCTTGACTGGATTGGGATCTGAGGAATTTGGAGGCCAGGTCGATGCGTTGAGCTCTTTGTCACGTTACTTATGCCATTCTTGAGCAGTTTTTGGAGTGTGCTTGCCTTGCCCAACCCATTCTCATTCCAAAGTTGTCAAATACTGCCATTTCGTCAGTGATTTCCACATTAGACCCAGATGAGAAAAGCCATCCTACCGCCCAGTGGTATGATACACCACCAGATGGCATCAGTTTATAACTCCACTGGAAAACAATATAACTTAAGAAGCTGGAAAGTCCATAGCCACCTTATTCCTAGCCCCCATGTTACCTTGAATGAATTATAGGTACAGCTTCTGGCGTTGAACTGAAACCGGCGATTTCCAATGGTAACAGTTTGTTTACAGTACTCTGTTCTTCTTTCCAAGAGCAATTGGGAAATAAAACAAGGAACACTGCACCTGTTGTAGCTCAAACAGGATTATGTGATCATACCTCTGCCATCTCTGACAGCCATCTCAAAGCACTGTTTATTTTTCCTTTTCAACCGAGCATGCTAGCAATTAGCTTGCCTTGCTCCGTTAAAATATTGTCAACTTTAACATGGCCTGAGCTAGGTTAAGGTAAACATCTGCTCCTTCTACAGATGATTTCTGATGACTTATTAAGAGATACAAACACATTTGGCAAACATTTAACCAGGGCTTGACGCTAACTTTTTTCCCAAGGAGCACATGTGCTCCTAAGTTGAAAAAGTAAGGAGTGCGCAAAGAACTTTAGGGGCACAATGTAAATTGATCAAATAATGTGTTTTCCGTAATAAACGTGATGCAAATAGACATTTACAAGCAAAATTATTTAATGAATTTGTATACAAAATGTACAGAAAGGTAAAATCATCAAGTTTTGAAAAAGTTTTGCAATTTAATTCTGTCTTTAATGTTATTATCTTATATATTATCTTTGCAATATGATTATCTTATATAATGTTATTACTATCCTAAAACATTCTCCAGGTCCTCTGAAACTCTGCAGGACTTAAGCCTCTTTCACACAGAGCTTTCGCGGCGCCCACTGCGGGGTAGGGCGCAGAGGACAGGATTTGGGGGAGTACAGGCTCATTCAGGAGCTACAGCTCCATGGTGACCGCTTTCGGGTCTACTTCAGGCTCTTCTCTGCTATTGGACGTGTGGCGCCGAGGTGTCGTCACAGCGCGTTGCGGTGAAATTAAAAAAATTTCAATTCGAGCGCAGGCTGGCGGCGCGCGCCACTCAGCTTGATGGCAGAGCGGTGTGCTCTTGCACCGCAGTAGTACATACACAATGAATGGGTTCGTCGGCGGAGGTCTGCACTTTGCGTGCTCTGTGTGAAAAGGGCTTTATTTCCACCCTGCCCAGCAGCAGTACCGTGGCGAACGGTCCCTAAAGGCCTCTACACATGATCCGCTGTAAAACCGCTTTGCGCTGGCTGTCCCATTGTTTGTCTATGGAGAGGGCAGCAACGCCTGACAAAGTGGCACCGCTACCCTTGGCGTCATGCACGATATTCATTGCCGACAGTGGCTTGGAAAACCGCCCATAACTGTGTCACACGGGGAAGAGGGAAGAGGGAAGGCGGCTGGAGTTCCTCCAACATTTGCGGTTAGATTATCATATTTTTTTATTGACAAAAATATAGGCTGCTTCGGCTGATTTTTTTATGCTCACATGTGCCCCTAAATATTTTTTACAGTTCGCACACACCTATTTTTAGTTGCAAATGCGAGGGAAAAGCTGACACTGTCGAGCCCTGCATTTAACATAATTCAGAATTAACCGTAGCGCCAAGTAAAGTGCATAAATGTAATTTTTTTCCCTAGCTAATCCTCTGCTCGTCTGTGTTAACAATGCAGTTTACATGATGTTGAGTGATGGACTGTCTGTCTAGGTGTCATTCCCTTCTGCAAATTCTGATTAATACCTTTTTGCTATGTCTCGTGAAACTTTTGTGGTTTTATTTCTCATATCAATGGTACCTTTGGCAACAGGAACAATCCCTTTTTGTTCCGGGTACATGTTTGACACACAGTTGCTGAAGACAAAATTTAGCTTAGACTGGTTGTTAGTTGTTACAGACAAGGACAGTGCAGCAGGTACCAGGGCTCTGCAAAGACATTTTAGAAAATGCTAAGTTAACATTAAATATTTGTTGAAAAATAAATCAGTATTGAAGGCAAATTACTTTCGAGGGCACTGCCATTGGAGAATGCTATTGCCATAAGGGGATTACTTGGTCTGCAACAGTGTTTGGGTAGGTGGGTAGTGTCAAGTGGCATCTCTATGAATGCCAGTACCCAAGGTTTCAGAACATTGCATTGTAAGATAAATAATGTTATTCACTTCACCTGTCAGTGGTTTTAATGTTGTGGCTGATTGGTGTACGTGCTCTCGTCCTTTGCTGACAAGACTGCAGATGTCAGCTGTCAGAGTGACACCTGCATCCCTTCTTTTGACAATATCTGGAGTAGTAGTATGACTGAGTCAAATAGGCTCATAATGTTGTTGTGTGTTTGGGTTCTATCAGGTCCTCAGATGGTCAGAAAACCTTCAGTCTCACTCGAATCTCCTTTGCTGTCTGCTTCCAAAGGTCATAGGTTTTGTTGAACACTTTTTCATATTTGTTTGTTCTGTGCAATACTTCAGGAAACCTCACAGACCTGGCTGCTGTCGCACATAGTGCTGCTAGCCTAATGGACACAGTCTATCTCTGAGATGTATCACAGAGGTAGTTAGAATCTGCCATTCAGCTCCACAGGCGTACAGGCTCACACCAACATGGATGACTGACCATTTATGAAAAACTGAGATAGCTGCAATTTACAGTAGTGGTGCATCTAACAGTTATTTTTATTACTGATTAATCTGTGAATTATTTTGTGATAAATAAATTTCTTAGAAAGTATTGCTTCAGTTGCTTGTGATTTATTTTCTGTTTATCAACTAAACAATTAACTTTTGCCTAAGCAGTAGACATTAATTACCGTTTCGTCCAAACTTATGATAAATAACTTGGTTGACCACTAATTGAACACACTGCATGCTTTTGGGCCACACAGAGGCAAAAGAACTTCACCAGGGATAATATATTCCCAAGCAGACACAGATGTGGACATTTATCTGCATCTTGAGTTATGGCCAAAAACATATTTTGTGTGGTCACACTGACCACACAATTCTAATCAGGTAATTCTCCAGTCCAAGTCAAATTTAAAGAAATTTCCTTCAGGTGTTCTTGAGATATCATGTTCACCAGAATAAGACAGATGCAAGGTCACAGTGAAATCCAATCTATGAATTGATAAGTCCAAGTAAACATTTGTGTCAAATTTGACAAAATTCCCTCACAGTGTTCTTGAGATATTGCGTTCATGATAATGCCATTGATGCAAGGCCACAGAGACCTTGACCTCTGACCCTTGACCCCCAAAATCTAATCACTTCATCTCTGAGTCCAACTGAATGTTTTTGCCAAATTAGAAGAAATTCCCTTGAGGCATTCTTTAAGATATCACATTCATGAGAATGAGACAGACAAGGTCACAGTGACCTTAACCTGAACACCAAAAAGCTAACCAGTTCATTGTTAAATCCAAGTGAATGTTCATGCAAGATTTGAAAAAATTCCCTCAAAGCAGTCTTGAGATATAGCATTCATAAGAATGGGCTGTGTATACGTATGGACGGAAAACCTGAAAACATAATGCCTCCTTCCTTGGCTGTTGCCAGTGCGGAGGCATAAAAAACCCATTGGCTTGTGACGAGGGAACTAGGAGTGCTAAAATGCTAACTCATATGTGGTTTTTAGGACTCATTCAGCTTCTATAATAATGGCACTTTTACCGAGAACGAAATCCAGTTGTCATAAACCTTTTCAGGCACTGATATTCTTTTTTTGTTAGTTCTCTTCTGTTCATCTGACTTGAAATATATGCATGATGCTCACCAGTGCTGGATTTAATGGTCTCCTTCCCCACAGACTGCCCCACCAGGTCGTACTGGTTGAGTCTGGATCCATCAGCTGCCACGTCCACTGACTGGGAGGCATTACGAGTCCAGATGTAAGTAACCTCTGTCTTGGTGTAGGCATCTGATGCAGGAAGAGCAAGGAGACAGTGAACAAACCAGCCCTATCACTCTTCACTCTGTCATATTCAATACACAGTCTCACACCAGAGCACCTTGTTAAGGCTGTTGGCTAAAATTACAGAGATCACATGTACAGCTGCCTGCAGCCCCTGACATCAAGAGAGGGATAATTACTCCTACACATAGAATTACAGCCATGATGCAGTCTTATCACTTCATGAACAGCAAACTATGTGTGGTGGGTTCAGACTGAAATAACTTCTAATAATAGGCTCACTCTTTAGGCTCAGCCTAGACCTTAATAAAATTTACCATAATTTATAATCATGCATAATACACTTTCACTGATGCACTGACACAACATCCAAATCAATTTGAGCTTTAGTTTGGATACATTTTATTACTTTCTATTTGTTATCTCATAAATTATACTACTTTATTATTTATTTCTTTTGGCTGAACCTGTCAGGGAATCAGGAAGTTGTGTAAAAAAAGTCAGTCTAACATTACAGAAATCAATGGTAACACTTTCTACAAAGACCACATCCATAATACGTTATGAGGGCATTCATAGTAAATTATAATGCACTTATAATCCTTTATGACTACACTCATAAACACACATAATGCTTACTGATGCACTACATTACATTATAGATGCGACTTATAATGTTTTATAAGTGTTAAGTGTCTTATAGATGCTCTTGGCTAGTTATAAACTAGAGGTTGACTGATGGGGCTTATAATGCTTTATGAATACCTATACTCATCTATACACACCTCAACATTTAACTGTAGCAAGGACTCATAGAATGCTATACTAGTCAGTCCCTCCAGAAAATTTCGATCTTGCAATTGCAATAATCAACGCAAATTCAACAAAAGTCCGCAATATTTGCGGGGGCTTGCAATTGTTCAAAAGTCCCACAATTTTTCTGTGTTTTTCTGCATTTTCCAGCTGGCCGGAAGTCGTTGTGTATGACATTGCAGTATGGAGAAACGCTCTGTATTGACATAGGAATTTGCACTGTTTAAATGCATACAATATGTGTTGTCTGAGATAAAAGAACAACTAAAGTGAATATGTGTTGAATTTATTAAAATGTTATGTTTACAGAAGATGTTGCTTACATGTTGTTTTACAGTCACATTGTCTGGTTTGAGAGCTACAATATTCACTCAGGATTTTTTGCAACATTATTGGAGTCCATGTTTTGAAACTAATTAAACAAAACTAAAGAAGAAAACTATAAAAAAAAAAAAAATTTGCAGCATTTTTATAATATTCAGTATGATTATTATAGCAAAGTGATTACATGACTTATTTTTTAGAGGCAGTAGTTCAAAAATCACATAACAATGCCACAATTTTTATCAAAAATTTTGACAAAATTGGCCGCAAATTCAAGGTTTTTTGCCGCGAGATCCTGGACGGACTGACTAATCCATGCAATATCATAAATTATCATTGTATGTGTTTAGTAAAGTAAGGTACATACTGATGCATCTATAATAATGCATGGTTCATTGTAACGTTTCATTGTTAGTGCTAAGTAAAGTGTGATGCAATTTCATTTAATTAAAAGAATCTATGCTGCTTCACAAGTTACTACTGCCTATCACACACTGGAATACTTTGAAAATAGTTGTTTAAGACTCAAGTCTGACACCCTCTCACATCTAGAGACAATGTGTCATGAGACAGAGCAAAGGGGGAAAAAAAGTGGACAGAAATTGTTTCAGCCTTCAAAATCGCTAGTAAGTATGCTATATGCTATAGCTAGCTAGCTAACCACTGCCCCCATCCTGAACAAGACGGCTTGTAAGCTAACATTAGCTACTGGAATGTTTGCTATTGGCCCATGGGCTAACCATTCATTTCAGTTGAAGATTTCTTTCTTCAGTAATATAAATAGTTCCATGCTGTAATTTTTGAAGCTAGCGGGCTTCAGCTGAGATGCACAGTTAGCTCATAGGCCACTAGCAAACATGCTAGTTGCTAATATAAGCTTGCGAGTATAGTGGTTATAGTGGTTAGCTCGCTAGCTATAGCATATAGAGACAGAGCGCAACGCATCATAATCTGAAAGCCACGCCCCCAAAGGGGAAACGAGGCCCGCTTTCCCCTCACACTTTCCCCCTCCGTTTCCAGCCTGTTGAGTTTTTCGTAAGTCCGAATGCCGAAAGGTTGCTGTGTGATGGGCTGCACGGCCAATAAAAACCCAGCGCTTAGCTTTTATCAGCTGCCAAACAGAAATACGGAACCTTGTAGGAGACAAAAGTGGATACAGGCAATAAAACGTGAGGTTTCAACAGGGAAGAAATTGTGGGATCCTGACACTCGGTATGCCTATGTGTGCAGCAAACACTTTGTCAAACCCTCCAAGTGTATTTTTAGAGTAACAGTTAACTGTATTTATGTATGTTAAGCTAAGGCATTTACAGTATGAATGCAACTTCTGTTATAATTGTGCCCAGCACTCCGCAATTCAAGCAGTCCATTCCAGCGGTCTGCTCTAGCACGTCTATCAATCTACCAGCATGTAGAGACATGTCTCAAAACAACAATGTGTCCTGGTAGTAGGAGCAGGCTGAGGGCTGAGCATGCCGAAATGCTCATCTTCTTAAAAAATAATCTCCACATCATGTTTTTTCCAAGACGAGCAAGGTAAGGAGAAGGGACACTGAGGTAGACCAGCAATATTAATCTTAAGCAGTATACCATTGCCTCTCTGGTAGGCATAGCGTGCTAAAAAAATCCTTTGCCATCTTATTATTAGCTAATTATTAGCTAGCTATAGCTAATAATTTTAGCTAGCTAGCAATTCAGTCGTGGAGACTTGAAGGCGCGGCTGCGGGGGCAGTATGACAGCGAACGAGCGAAGAAGCGGAGGGGAAAGCGGGCCTCGTTTCCCCTTTGGGGGCATGGCTTTCAGATTATGACACGTTGCGCTCTGTCTCCATGGCATACTTACAAGGAATTTCAGAGGCTGCAGCAATTTCTGTCCACTTCTTTCTTTCTTTCTCCACTTCATCACTGCAAAAATGTGAGGACATGTCAAAGAGGCACTCCTTTGGGGTGGGGTGAGAATAGTGCCAATTGGTTAATGCCAGAGCCCTTGAATATCCCTTGTTCTATTCTGCGGCTCTGGTTAATGCCAGTCATTTCTCTTAGACTGTGGGGGGAAAAAAAGGAGAAAGTGGAGTTGTGGAGTGAACAGGAGTGCCTCTTTGACATGTCCTCTCTTTGTGTCATGATAGAGAAGAGAAGGAAAAAAGTGGACTAAAATTGCTGCAGCCCTTGAAATCCCCTGTAAGTATGCTATATGCTATAGCTAGCTAGCTAACGTCTGTAGGGGCTGTTTGCAAGCAAACATTAACCACTGGAATGTTTGCTATCAGCCCATGAGCAAACAAGCTTACTAATTGTTCCAAGTAAAGATTAGGCTACTCGCTTCAAAAAATGTAATCATGTAACCATTTAGCTATTCAGATTCAGATTCAGAATACTTTATTAATCCCCGGGGGGAAATTGTTTTTGTTCCAGTGCTCCATGCAAAGTAGAAATAGAAATACAGCATGAATGGAAACAAGAGATAAAGGTGAAGATATAAATAAAATACTAAAATAGACAATGAAATAAATAAAATAAAATATTAAAGTAGACATTAAAATAAATAAAAATAAGATAAAATATTAAAGTAGACAATCTGAAATATATACACTATACAATGAAATGGTTGTAGCGTTATACATGAAATGAGAATGAGTAGTTATATTGTTTGTTTTGTTTTTTAAATAGCCAAATGAGTCCGATCATCAGAGGGAGGAGTTGAACAATGTAATGGCCACAAGTAAGAATGACTTCCTGTGGCGCTCAGTGGTGCATTTAGGAGCAATCAGTCTCTGGCTGAAGGTGCTCCTCTGTTCGACCAGAGCGTTGTGGAGAGGGTGAGAGCCATGCTGAAGTATCGCCCGCACCTTCAACAGCATCCTCCTGTCAGACACTGCTGTCAAAGAATCCAGCTCCACCCCCACAAAGTCACTGGCCTTTCTGATCAGCTTGTTGAGTCTGTTGGCATCGACTACTCTCAGTCTGCTGCCCCAGCACACCACAGCAAACAGAATAGCACTGGCCACCACAGACTCATAAAACATCCTCAGCATAGTCCGGCAGATGTTAAAGGAGCAGAGCCTCCTCAGAAAATAGAGGCGGCTCTGTCCCTTCTTGTAAAGGACTTCAGTGTTCTTAGTCCAGTCCAGTTTATTGTCAATGAACACACCCAGATACTTGTAGTGTTCTAC